TAATTTTTCTACCATTACCTTTTTAAAAATAGATAATGCTAAGAAGACTTAATTTGTAAACTAAATTTTGTAAATTAAATGACATATAAATTAGTGATGAATTATCACTTAACTATTGATTAACGTGATTATTTTTTATTAGTCACACATTACTTAGTTTACGAATTTAGTCTACCTAACATTAACCTAAAAACTTTAAGCAAATTGACCAGTAGACTAAAACGGAAAATGACTAATCTTTAAGTTGAGCCAAGTGTGATTTCTTTAAATTGGGATTATTATCCACTACTGAGATTGAATTATATATATATATATATATATATATATATATATATATATACATACACACACACACACAAAGGAAAATTTCAGGTAAACTAAATTTGTAGATAAAATTTTAAAAACTAAATGACATGAAAGTTGATAATTAGTTTATTACTTAAACGTCGATAAACGTGCTTATTTTTAACACATCATTTATTTTGCAAATTATGTTTCTAAATTTGGGAACTTTCATGAAAAGAGGTTGAGCTAAATTCATTTTATCCAAAAACCATGCTATAACTTTATTTAATGAAAAAAAAAAAGTTTAATGATAAACCCTTAACTTTAATAAAAAGAATAAAATAACTTAAATTTTAATGAAAAAGACATAATTTTAATATTAAAAAAAACTAAAAAAAAATAGTGACTGTCCTCACACTTATTATTTTATGAAACTTATTACACTGTTTATGAAATTTATTATACTATTTATGAACTTATTACGTTGTTTATGAAACTTAAAGGTATATAGTGTGTTAACTTCTTTGAATCATGCCCAACCAGTTTGCCTATTGAACTTAGACCTTGGGATCTCCAATCAACTAAGTTAGGCTTCCGCCCGACTAATTCATTAGTTATGTTGGCTTTAGCCTCATTCCCCTCGATGATCAACTTACTCTCTAGTCAAACCTATAATAATTGGTACCATTTAGGTTGACTATCTTTAATGGTGTATACAATTCATCTTATGAAATTATATTTCATACGAGAGTAGTTGTTTCTCAATTTCAAGTCCTCAAAATTATATATATGTTGGGACTTTTGGAAGTAATTTGCTAACACTAGGAAGTAGACTTCCCCCACATTTAAGGTATTTGTAGGAATGTCTCTAACTCTTCATACCTTAAAGTTAATCATTATAAGAGATAACTGCTTTTTATTCTCTCTCTTTTAATAAACAAATTACTCTTTACAATTTGGACATTGTGTTTAGCCCTTACTCGGCTAAATTATCACAAAGTACATTTCTCTAGCCTTAAGGCTGTATTCAATTCCATTATAGATTATGCCTTTGTATATCCACCTATATGTACTTTGACTTTAAGTTATCAAAATTCAAATTAGCCAGCATCATTGAATTCATAACATGTCCATCCATATTCTTGCTTAATAAGCATCATCATGTTTAATTTAATTGTGTATGCTTACTCAATAAGAATCAATTTCAGTGCCTCATCATTCCTTTTACGAAGACCCCCACACTTTCAGTGTATACTTCGCAAAGGAATTGGCTTTGGTTTTATCCATGACTAACATGGCCTATGAGAAAAACTCATTTTTGTAGTGCCTTCACATGTTACTCCTTTATCAGGAAGTGCTCATCATTCTATAAATGTGCTAATTCAGTCAATGAGTTTGCAAATCATATAGCCTATATCCTTAGATGCCCAGCCACAACATTAAAGATTGCATTATGATCTTGTAGCTAATTGGGAGACAAAAACTCAAATATTCATGTTTCCGTATCACTATGGCTTTGAAGCTCTCACATATATATCTACAGTATACAACCACAAGTTTTGTGCCATGTGCATACTAACATAAGAAAAACCTTCTCTTTTGCAAAGAAAGAGGCTACACAACCGCTAACAGAGATTTACTTCCTCAATTTAAAATGCAACTCATTTTTTGCGCTACTCTGCAGAACCAAACTCATAAACCCATAAGCAGTTATTGATTGTGCCCAACTACATTATGCGCATTGCCACAGTAGTTAAGTCGTTCTTACGTATAGACTTAAGGGTTGCAATCCTTACCAATACTCAACAAGAAGATACGAAAACTTTAATCGCAGAAAAATATGCCCAGTTAATGAGATGCATCATACTCATATGAATAAATCAATCCATATATATATCACACACACATTGGTCGAATGGGAATGAATTTCCAGGCAACGATTATATTTCATTTCTACGCCTATGACTTGTGATAAGTAACCTCCAGTGCCTATGACGTCGTAATTTAGTGTTGAATTAGCCATTTACATGAGTCGAACCTAAAAATTATCATTTACAAATGAAGAGAAAAATCACTAGATTGTAGTAGTAAATAAGTCGCTCGCATTGATTGTGCAACGAAATGCTAATCAAATGAGATGGGCCTGGCTCAATCTCCTATAGACCTTACTGGCCCATAAAGCCCATTTAAGGCCCAAATGTTTTTGGTCTACGAAGGGGAAATTAATCGATAGATTTTGGGAATTGGTTTAGGAGAGGGTTGGGGTTTTCGAAACGGGTCATCCAGCTCGGTAAACTGCATATGAATGCTTAAACCCCAAGACCCAAACCCATACCCTGCATCTTCTTCTGAGGCCTCTCTCAACTCTTGCAGTCTTTCTTCTCCTTTCAGCTTCAAAAGGTTAGAATCTGGGATTCATAAATTGGTATGGATATTGGAATGAGGTTGTATGTACCATCAACTTTTAAATCCTTGTGGAATTAAATTGTATAAATATTTGGGTGTTTGATCAGACGTCACAATGGATAGAAAGGCTCGTGACAGTGACAATGAGTTCAAGGACGATGGCGATTTCGACAACGATGAGCTGAGTGTTTTTTATTTGTAAATTCTGTTATTGGGTTTTGGTAATCATTCGGTTTTGTTTTGGTTATTTTGTTGTTATTTGATGGTTTGTGATGTAGATGGAGCAGGAAGAGAATGACTTTGATGATGAGCAGGCGAGGAGGAAGAAGATGGAGGAGAAGTGGGGGAAGAGGAAAATGGTGATGGGCAAAACGATAATAAAGATGCGGAGATGGAAGAACTCGAGAAAAAATACATCAATCTTCGTCATCAGGAGCAATAAGAGACTTCTGTTCACAATTCTTTTATGCTTAATTATGAACTTGTGATGCTTAACTAGAACGAAGACATAGAGCTAAATAATGTGAATATAAGAGATAATATGCATAGCAGTTGGAGGTTGGTGACCAAATTTGATATTAGGTTACAGAAGTCATTGAATAATATAATAGTCCGCCAGTGTAGCTATAGAAATTGAATACTAGTGCCATTTTCATCTTAGCTCGACGCTAAGTTTCAGTATCTATTTAATTTAGTTATTATGAAAGCACAAAGTGGAGTTATATATGCATGTGCAATTCTTCAGTTCGAGATAAAAGGAAGGAACATACATCTTACATGGATATAGGCTGACATGAAGTTAATTTTGTTCTTCGTTTATTCCCTCTTCCCATGCAGAGATATTTTAAAGAATCTAAAGCGTCATAAGGACGAAGATCTTAAAGGTCAAGCAGTAAAGAACCAAAAGGTGTGTGTTGTTCAAAATAATAGCTCTTGTAATATCCATGAAATAGATTACCACAGGTCGCTTTAGCTTTTCCATTTTTTTGTAGCTTTTTGACATGTTAAGATGTTATGTTCTTACCTGAGAGGTTGTCTGCAGGAGCCAGTTAGGTCTTTATTTTGTGATTCACATGAAGGCGTCAATGCAGCATATTCTGATCTAGTCGACTCATCAAAGAGAACTTTGGATTCTTGAGCAGAACTACAAGAGGTGTGACGGTCATAAAAATTTGTTGCCTACCTATTACTACTTGGTCTGTAGTTTAGCTTCATACCTTGCAGTAATATGACAAGTACTTTATACATTATTGTGATTTGTTGATATTGCCATTTGTATATGCTAACATTTATCGCATCATGCTATATTTCTAGTTACAGGCTTTCGTTGGGAAAAACCCTTCTTCCATCTTTCAAGCAACAGATAGTATGTGCCAACTACATTTATCAAACTATTATATTTATTTTGTAATATAATTTGGCTCTCCGTTGTTGTGCATAATCTATCATTTTCAGCATGACAAGAATTGCCAATATGTGAAAGGTTTGCTATGCTTGGTGTATTACATTTTGTGTTTGAAGTTTTTAATATCCGTTTAAATTCTCGTAAAGTGCGTTTAGCTTGTAACTATACAATTAGCTAAGACAGAGTTTGATTTTATCAAATCAAACTTTAAGGAAATGCTTCAAGTTTCCTCTATTCATATGATTGTGAGGGTTCCTCAAATTTCAGAAGTTCCACTACAACAGTTACTATAATTAGTCAGATTATGATGGTACTATGCTATTATCAAGAGTGTACGAGTTTTAATCATGAGGAATGGATTGAGCTCAGCCTTGCCCAAGCGTATCCCAAAACACAAAGCATAAAGCTTAAGCTTGGACCAACTGGTCTGCTGAATTGTAGTGAAGTTTGTGCTTAGTTCTGATTGAGAACAAGCCAATCCAAATATGTGATGGTTTACGCGTATTAGGTGGGAAGTTCAGAGTAGATCAACAAAAATTAGACACTTTGTGATTTTGATTACAGCTTTCAAGGAAACATCAATTAAATAACCACTCTAGAGGGTAGGTAGTTGTTGTTGTTGTCAAAAGCATAATGTTGGCATAGAAGGTAAATTAGTTAGGTCTTGTTTTCTGATCTGAGGATAGTCAAGATGAAGCCAGATTTCAAATTTTCCCAAGGATGTCAGCACAAATCTTTCCTGCTTTGATCTCATATAAGCCTTAGCCGGATTAAGCAAAAAAAATTGGCTTTTGGGCTACCATGGTCTAATTGGCTGTCCTAGTTTGTACTGTTTGCATATTCATTAACTTCATACTGCGTATGTTCATGTATTGCTTCTCCTAATACATATCCTATTCTGTAGGTAAATCTGGACAACCTAAGAAGTCACAGTCATCTAAGACCACTGATAGTGATGATACGGTGATGAGGATTGGTCACGGATTTCTTAGTTGCTGTCAAGGTACTCAGATCATAATTTGGATATGCTCTTGTTATATTGAGGCCTATCTATAAAACTGAAATATTGTTTAACATTATTGTTCATGCCATACTTCGCTAATCCATTTGGAGCAGCAAAAAGAACTTTGGAATTTTGTTGTTTTATTGTTTAAAATTCTTGTAAATGGTGGATTCAAGTACCTTACTATTATTGCCGTATTTCAACACCTCAGTGTCCAACTTTTGTTATACTTGTAAAAAATCTATGTTGCCATATGTTTACTTTAAGTATACTCCGATAACTTCTCTTGCATGAATTTTAGGAATTTATTCTACTATTAAAAGCGAGCAGCATGCTTTTAATCGGGTCTGGCTCTATAATTGAACTTGTAAACATGCCTTTCCCTATGGCTGACTTGTGCCATGCTTTGCCAGATATCACTAGGAATTCATTTTTCTTTTTCCAATTGCAGAATATTGGGGAACAAGTTGCTTCTTATTTAAAAGACCCAAGCAGAATGGTTGGGCAGATGCAGATGTGGTCATGTGGAAATTAGCAGTTGCTGTATTTGGCACTGTAATACATTAACTCTTATATCTAAATTGAAAAAATGAAAATTTCACAGTTCCCAAGGTCTCACGTGCATGCTCAGATACATTTGTGCTTCATATTTTTAACATCATAACAAGATTGGTTTTTTAGTAATTTAAACACGAGTTATTGATGTGCAGGCTCCTGTGGGGGAGAACACTGCAAAGGGAAAGGTACTGATTGCATATAATTGTGGTTAACTGTAATTCTATACTAATACAAGGACCCATTTATAAATTCATTGGAATTAAATGTCCCATGGCATTTACAATTTTCTCATGTGCTATATTAACTCCCAAATGAGGTACAAATTCATTGTTTGGGATGGATGCTGACGTTTGAGCAAATTTTGGGTTGTTTGTGGTGTTTGCTTCAATTTTCTTTTTGGATGGCCCCGATTTGACTTGATGAATTTGTTCCTTTTATTGCTATAAGAATAAATCATGCAACCAGTGAGCGAGGGCTGTGAGTGTTTCAGTGCTCTTCATGCGCCATTAGCTTTAATCCTATCTTTTATTTAAAATTTTGATTTGTTTGCCACTTCGATGTGCAGCCTGTGAGGTCCACTTTAATTACCTTCTTGATGTGTTTTAAAAGTTATATTTCTATTTGCACAAATTGAGTAATTTTATTCTTTCACTCTGATAGGTGACACAATCTGATGGTTGTGCACAAGTTGATGGTGACCCCAAACTTTTGGATGACTCAGAGTATCTTCTGGTAAAACTATTAGGGCATCTCATACTTCATACATGAATGATTGCATTTGAATGTGATATACTAATACGGTTTACCCAATTTATAATAATTAAGTCTGAATCATGAGGGAAGTTTCATTCGCGTTGAAGAAGCAGAAACCAGCTCCGTAATGTAGTAGCGATGCAAGGCTGAGCCAACCGTATAGTCCTTAGATCTCATGCTAAGAAATTGTCTGCTGTTTATTTATTCGATATATTATTCAATCTAATATCTGTTATACTTATTTACACAATTTTTCAATGGGAGTCGAGTCTTTAAGAAGCATGATTTTGTTGTAAATGACAATTAAGATCTGTATGTTTGACATTTATAAGCAGATAGGATGTTTTTGCTTTCCACAGTGCCGAAATAGCATCGCTGATGCTGGATGTATTTCAGTATACACATTTGAGCTATGCAATATTTGATGATTTGAACACATTTGAACTTCAATATCTAATTGCTAGGGGCTTTTATATCTCAAGCGGTTAAGAGCGCTTAGCTGTGAACCCGAAGTTTTGAAGGCATAAAATATCTTGAAGACAAAGAAGGAATGCAAAATATGTTTGTATCAAGTAAAATTGCAAACTCATGGAGGGCTTGTGGACTACTGTCGCTTCTTTTTCTGGGAGATGGAGGACCGAACTACTAGAACAAGCGTGACAAAGAAGCCAGCAGCTGTGATAAGCACCTTCCAACGTCCGAGGTTGCAGTTGTTACTGGCAGCCCTCATCCTTGCAATTGTGAAATCAGGTTCATCCTCTTGCCCTTCTTCTTTGTCTGAAAAACATACAAATAACATAAAAATTTTGTTTTTGAAATGAATACAGACGGACGTGGAAGTGTTTGGATGGACTATAATTCATTGCAATACCACAATACGACATACCTGTGTCTTCTTCATGAGAGTCCATGATGACGCAATTCAACCATCCCCGCTCATCGACAAGAAGGCCTTCAACGTATTCTTTCCAGAAACCAAGGAAGTATATTCCTGGTAGATGCTCCCACATGGACAAATCTCCCCCGATGACACATGGATAATGAGGATCTGATTTGGTGTTGTGTTGGGTACTTGTCATCATATTATTCTGGTGCTCTTGCACAAGCTCGACACCAAACTCCTTTATCCGAAACTGGTAAGGAAATTCGGCTATTACCAAAACCACGACTTCATCTCCACATTGCAATATTGTTTCAGTCTCCATCCTCCAATGGCTCATCCATTTCATATCTTCTCCGTCACCTGGAATTCCATAGATATTTGGTCCATAGATCCACGTCAGACCCTTACTCTTGTTACTGACTTTAGCCACTAAAGGCACACAATCAGGATAATTATAATTCTCCTCCTTTGCATAGGTAGCAAAGATGTTCAAGCCTCGAATTCTGTGACCAGCATGCAGTAAAGGGACAATAAAACATATCGAGGACTTGGTACTTTTATAGCTGAACCGGTCCGGAACCTCATTCCCAGTAAAAAATGTGCTGAATATACCATATTGATACAGTCCCTATGTATTTGCCACAGTCATCACAACATTACTCAAAGTCATTTCTTTCCCATTTTATATATTTAAGACTTATGAGAGAGAGAAAGAGAAGCGCACCTGGACCTCTTCTCGATGATCCGTGCGTGTGTATTGATTATACATTCGAACAGCTGGCGTGGATTCCAAGTTGGACAAACCCAAAAGTTTGATCATTTCCGCATCAACTCTATTAATAGGCTCTAACTTGTATACGTACTCCCACTCAACTAGATTCCAATTGTCACCCACCCCGAATATACACCGTAGCTCAGGGGAAAGATATGTCATTTTTTTTAATGATATGCAATACCTTATATTAATCAGTTTGTGTACTTTTGGCAACCCCACAAGCGATTCGAGCTTCTCACAATCTGCGAAAGAGAGTTCATCGAGCCTTCTCAAACCTTTGATGAAACCTGGCAGACTACAAATTGGATTCTCATCTAGATATAGTCTTTGTATTGAGGTTAGAGTACTTAAATCCGTAGGAAAGGCATCATCAGAAAGATTGCACCCCATGAGACTTAACTCTACTAAAGAGCATGGAAAAGAACTCAAGATAGTTGAACTTCTTTCTGGCCACAATTCACTTATTGGAATTCCATCCATGTCAAGAACTTTCAGACACTCCATCTTCTTCATCATCTCCACTGGAAACTCTTCAAGATTTGAGCAGCAAGATAAAATGAGTTTTTCAAGTGATTTAAGCATGCACATGTTCTTCGGAAGCATCATAAGATTCTTGCAATCCTTCAAGTTTAAGTACACAAGTCTCTCCAGGTTTCCAATGGATTCATGAACATCAATCAGGCTTGTGCAATCTACAAGAATCAATTCTTCTAGACTAGGGCAAAGTGAGAAGTCCATGATTTCAGTGAGGGAATGGGAATGGCTGACGTCAAGGAACTTCAACGATGGAAGAAACTGTGGAAACAAAGAAAAAAAGAAATAGAAAAAAAACAATGAAATAAGTATCTAACATAAGAAATTAGTCATCGAATTAAAGAAAACATAGGAGTTCATTTTAACACATGGAGTTAGTCAACAAATAAAAAATTAACAAAATAAGGAAAATGAATTGAAATGCGTAGAGTAACATACTTTTGTTCCTTTCCAGACTTGTCTTAAGCTACTATGTTGCATTTCAAGAACAATTAGACAATCCAAAGGAAGATCAACAGGTATAGAATCCAATGGAAATTGAAGCCAACACAACCATCTTAATCTTGTAGGGAAATTTGCATAACATCCATCCAGTCGTACATGACTAAGATGGAGTAGTTGTAAATTACGCATCCTTTCAAATGCATTGGTTTCCAAGACGGTCTCATTTGTGTTTATTGGTCTGTTTACAAGATGCATACGCATATCCAGGGCAAGACCTTGAATTGTTTGTGTACCCTAACAGAAAAGAAAAGAAAAAGTTAAAACATTATTATGGATAATTTTCACAAGGAGAAATACATATATAGACATAAAAGGCATGTTTCTTACATTCTTTTCCCTCAGTACTTCGAAAGAATCCTTATGGCGCCATAATCTACTACGTTTTCCAAACTCTTTTGATTCGTGGCAAACAATTTCTCTTCCCATGTCACGGATCATGTCATGCATTTTCACGTTGTTCCATCTGTCAACTGTCACCAAGCATCTATCAATGAGATTTTGAATGCCAACAATTGTATAGAAATCACATCCATCGAGTATTCTAACAATGTGGCTTTTGTTCCTTCCTATTAGGAAACAAGCAATGTGGAGGAATAATTCCCGGTCATGGTCATCTTGTAAACTGTCATAGCTTATTCTTAGTTTATTCATGATTTCACCATTAGGGATAACTTTTAGCTTCTCCAATGCACTTTCCCATACATCTATACTTTCCCCTGATAAAGAAGACCCCAAAACTTTTAGAGCTAATGGAAGTCCGTCGCAGTAGTGTACAACCTTTTCTGAATATTCCATGTAACCTCTAAGGGGATGGTCCTGGCGAAAAGCATGCCAACTGAAAAGCTCTAAAGACTCATTGTAATACAAAGTTCCAACTTTGTGCACCTTTGTAACTTGATGTGCCTTTAGCAACCTTTCACGCCTAGTTGTTATAAGTATCTTACTTCCCGGATAAAACCAATCTTTCATCTCTAGGACTGCATCTAATTGGTCCATATGGTCCACATCATCAAGAACAAGAAGCACTCTTCTAGAGCTTATGGCTCTTTCAATCTTTCTTAGTCCCTCACTAACACCATGTATTTTCACTTCTCTGTCGTTCAAAATATCAGAAAGAAGTTGCTTTTGTATTTGAACTAAGCCATTTGGTCGATTTGCTGTTTCGCTGATATTTTCAATGAAACTACTTCCTTCAAAGCTTCTAAAGTTTGAATTGTAAACATGTTTTGCAATGGTTGTCTTCCCTATTCCAGACATGCCATACACAACTAGTATACCGACATCGGTTGATCCATCTTGTAACCACAAATTGATGTCTTTGACTTGAGATTCGACTCCAATCAATTTTGGTACAACGCTCAATGGTGTGCGACTTAACTTGCCTCCAATCACTTTAACAATTTTTTCAATAAACTTTGACTCATACCTAAGAATTTACAAACAAAATGAAAAATAAATCAAACATGTTATGTCTCACAGATGTATTGGATGAATGAATAATGAATTGGGGAATTTAGATAATTAATAAATCAAACAAATGTTGATGGCCTTTACTTAAAAAAGAATTAAAAGGAATACAGCACAGAAAGTACATACCAACTTTTTTCCACACCTGCTTTTGAAACATTTTAAGCAACAGGAAACCAGTAGACTAACATGGAAAATGACTAATCCTTAAGTTTATCCAAGTGTGATTTCTTTAAGTTGACCTAAATTGGGATAATTATTCACTACTGAGGTTGAATAAAAATCAAGGTCCCTACGGATCATAGTATCAAATTAACTGAAGAAAGAGAAGAGAAATGGAGAAAATGAAAGTTACCCATCAGCTTGATTTTGTAAGACCATGCCTGCTAGGTCTGCAATCTCTGCAAGTGCCTTCCTCCATCCCTCCACCTTTTCCGGCGACTGATTTTTCTGGCTTCTAGCAAATGCTTTTCCAACACTTCCTGTCTGCTTCCTCAAGTGGGACGGATCAACATCGTAGAAGACTGGTAAAACTACATGGTCCGAGGTGGTCTTCTTCCGTTCAAGGATCAGCACAAGCTCATCAAGACACCACCTGGATGACGCGTAATCTTTCGAAAACACGACAACAGAAGTTCGTGACAGCTGGATCGCTTTCAGCAGTCCTGGCTTTATATCTTCTCCTCTCTCAAGTTCATCGTCGTCTCGGAACGTGAGAAATCCTGCGTTGTTCAAGGCTGTGTAAAGGTGGTCGGTAAAAGTCTTGCGAGTGTCTTCGCCTCTGAAGCTCAAGAACACGTCGTATCGGTAACCCCGAAATTTTTTGGAATCAGAGGAGGTTCCTTGAGATGTTGTCACGAGAGCCATTGATGTGGATTGATGTTCAAACCAAAAAAACTGGTCTTTGCTTGAGATGTTATTCCTATCTACTGGAAAATTTACAAACAATTATAAAAAGGGTTGTTCCCATGCTTGACCCAAAGTCTTTCTTTAAATCATGGCCGACCGCTAGTGGCAGAGATTAAAACAAAAGGTTGTATGGGGTCCTTCCTATCTACTTCCAGGAAGATTCACAAACAATTATAAAATGGGTCGTGTTCCCATGCATTGACCCAAAAAGCTTTTCTTTTAAGTCATGGCTGGCTGCTAGTGGCAGGGTCTTAAAAATAAAATTGCACCTATAGTTGCAAATGCAAATAGAAAGGAAATAAAACATAATTAAGTTATGTATAAAATGAGTGATAAAAGAAGGGATGTGATATCTACACGTTCCATTTTACTTTTTACATATGTTTCTAATTTTCGGTCGTCGGATCAGATGAATTGAAAAAGATCAACAGACATAAATTAACAAGAGGTGTGTAAGAAATAATTTGGAGTGTGTAGATAGCACACCCCTAAAAGAAAAGGTCCTTGCACGCTCGAAAATGTCATTCGAATAGGTTAGTAAAGAATAAATGAAGACTTACATCAATGAACCAAATAATAGTGTAAGATAACAAAATAAACAATGACATTGAGTTGAAGAGTTAGAATTCATGTATATCATCTTTTCCTTACAGTACTACAAAAAAAATACAACTCGATTCTATCATATTACTAGTTTATCTTATTAAAAGTTGCTAAGATGAGTATATAGGGTTTGTGGTTTTATAGTATAATATCTACTATTTTCTTGACATTTATCTTGCAATTTCCATTCCACCTGTAAACTGCTTTGTCTATTCAATACCGCCACAACAATAATACTTGTTTCCATAGCTGCAAACAGAGTATTTAAAATGAGAATATAAGTTGAAGTGTAAATTGCATTATAGTTTGTAGTAATTCAACTATACATACATTGACAAAAAGCAAGGAAAAAAATAATCATATCCAATTAGATTGAATCCAGAAGCTCAGTCAAGATAACATCAAATGTTAAACCCCCCGACTTTGCGTTCCGTTGCCATGTGGATGGATCTGTTTAAATTTGCTTTTCTTACCAAAATTTAAACAATAGAAAGTTCAAACCATATTCCCATACCTCCATGTCTCAGGATCCATACCTCCATGTCTCTATCCTGCATTAATTTGTTGATGCTCATTTCCAGTGGAAAATGCATCACTTGTAGCCTTTTTTCACAGTTTTTTCTTATGGGACCTGCTTTGATTTTTCTGGTACCGTCTTTGCTGCAAGCGTGGAGATGACACCGTTGTGTTATGTGATAAGAGATGTTGCAGCTTCAAATAAATTTCATTGGATATTCTGTAAATAGGTGAAAGGGGATAAATAGATCAAACTATAATGATAATGACAATTATTATTTCAATAAATAGAAAGTATGTTTCAACATAAATATATTGCAATCAATTTGATCATAATCAAATCATTAAGACAATATGCCCTGCAATGTAAATTCATGAAACGCCAATTTACATTGTCACAAATTCCTAATCAGGTTGGTACTCCTCTTTCTGATCCCATTGAGTTTCGTCACCTTCTCAGGTCACTTACATATCTCACTTTAACTCATTCTAGTATTGCCTTTGCGGTCAATCATATAGCTCAGTTTATGGCTCGTCCCACTATGACTCATTTGGTTGCTGCTGAACGTGTTCTTCATTATGTTAAAAGGGTTCGTTAGACTTGGTCTTAGTTTCGGCCTCATTGTGGTCCACTTGTTTCTACTTGGGTACTCTCATGCAGATTGGGCTGGTCATCCATACACTTGTTGGTCCACATCTAGGTATCTTCTTTTTCTTGGCCCCAATCTCATCTCCTAGAGCTCTACATAGCAGCCTATTGTACGACGTTCTAGTGTGGAGTATGAGTATCATGCTCTTGCTCACACTTGTACTGAATCTCTTTAGGTCTCCTACTTACATCGTGAAGTCCAGTGTGTGATTTCAACGCCCATTTATATTTTCTGTGATAATCTCATCACCACCTACATGGTTGCTAATCCGGTTTTTCATGCTCGCACGAAGCATATTGTGTTGAATTATCATTTTGTTTGTGAACATGTTAATCTTGGCACACATAAAGTACAATTCATTCCATCCTTGGGTCAGCCTACGGATCTACTAATGAAAGGTCTTTCTAAGCCGTGATTTCCTCTCCTACGGTCCACACTTGTGTCCTCTTGGCCGTTCCCAGCAAAAAATGTGCTGAATATATCATGTTGATGCAATCCCTATTTATGTACTATGGACACCATAACATTAACTAGTCAATTCTTTCCAATTCCAATGACATATTTATCAAAGAGAGTGAGATGCACCTGGAGGAGACTCCAATCAACATCTTAAGAATCGCGGAAGGGTTTGTGCATTTGAATATTTGGCATGGATTCCAAGTTGTGCAACCCCAAAAGGTTGATCAGTTAGCATCAGCTCTTCCAGTAGGTTTCAATTTGTAATCGTAGTACCACTCAACTAGATTGCGGTTGTCATCCACATCGGTCATCAGTTTGTGTACTTTCGGCAACCCCACTAGTGATTTGAGCCTCTTACATCCCCAGAAAGAGAGTTCATCGAGCCTTATCAAACACTTGACGAAAATCGGTAGGCTACAAATTGGATTGCTACTTAGTAAGAGTCTTCGCAGTGAGGATAGCTAGATTACTCAAATCCTTAGGAAATGCATCATCAGAAAGATTGCGCTTGCTGAGATTTCGCTCTACTAAAGAGAATGGTAAAGAACTCAAGTTACTTGAACTTCCTCCCGGCATAATTCACTTTTCGGAATTCAATCTGTTTCAAGCACGTTCATAGATTCCATTTCCTTCATCATATCCATTGAAAACTCATTAATATTTGACCAACCCATGTTTCAAGTGATTTATGCAACTATTCTTTGAAAGCATCCTAAGATTTTTGCTATCCATCATATTAAAGTAGGGTTAATTTCGCTAACAAACCTAAAGTTTATTAAGTTTTCATAAAAACATCTCACGTTTGAGACATTACATCAATATTCTTTGAGGTTTTAATTCATTTACACATAACCCCTTTTAACCAAATTCCATCTTTTTTTTTTTCTTATAGAGAAATTTACCCATAGAAATTTACCCATTGTGGTAATAAGGTATTTGAAAAAGAGTCAACGGTAAAGAAATTTGGATTTAAACGAAGCAAGTAATTGATCCATCTTGTAACCATATATTGATATCTTTGACTCGAGAATGAATTCCAATCAATTTTTATTTGGGCCCTCAAGGGTTTGCGATTTGTCTCGAGTCACATTTATCAATTTTTGATAAATTGAATTATACCATTACTATTAATTAGTTGCAGCTTTTAAAATTATTATCATAATTAGTTATTAGAAAGAAGAAAAAAAAGGAATTGACGGAGAATTGAACTGTAGTAAAACGTATGACATGGAAGTTTTGTGATTGCAATTTTTATTTTTTTTATTAGTTGCATATAAATAGGAAAATCCAGTGTTAGAGCCAGCACATGAGTGAAAGACCTAGGACTGTAAATCAAACAAGCCCCGTCATCCATGGCCTGCACAATCGATTTCCACTGCCTAGACGAGGGCTTCGGTGGCAAAACCTACAAGCGCAAGAGAAACCCCCATTCCGCCGACGAAGATGCCTCTATCTTTGGCGGTGCTGCAATGGATATCGACGACTCGTATCCACCTCCGGCGAAGCGGTCGGCGGTACCCTCCTCGGACAATCCTGACAAGCCCATCCTCGGGAAGCCAAGCTACGACGGCGTGATGGCGGGAAAAGTCTCCGGCCGGAAATGGAAGCAGCCGAGGAAGCAGAGGACTTCGGCGGCGCAAGTCAGCCGAAAGGGGACAACTTTCGAGGAGAGGGCGAAGGCGAAGGAGATAAAGAGGGCCTACAGAGAGAGAATGACGGAGCTGAAGGACGAGATCAAGAAGAACAAGGAGGAGAAGAGGAGGAAAGGGAGGAGAGGGAGAAGAAGAAGAAGGAGAACATTTTGAGGTCTGGTACTAAGCTGCAGGTGATTTCGAACCCGAAGACAATAAAAAAGATTGCAAAGACGAAGGATCAGAAGCTCCTCCAGCCGGTTCCGGAGCATTTGATCAACAAGAACAGGAGGAAGAGGAACAACAACGACAAATAGACTAGTGAGTTGGTTTACTTTTCGGTTTTATGTCTAGGCTTGGATTCAATTTTGATCCTTTGTGTTTGTTATGGTGGCAGAGAGTTGTGCTATGTTCTGAATATAGTTTCTTTATGTGCGAAATCTTTTGCTTGCTCGAATTTTGCATCTACGAATTAGTTGTGGTTGATATTTATTTGATAAATGGAAAGGAAAACAAATAATAAATGGAAAGGAACATCTCTTTTGAGACAACCTAGAAAGCTGGACTGGGATTTGATGAGACTTGAAAACTATTTGGAAGGGTTGATATTTGAAGGATATAGACCAGGCTAACCAGCATGGTTTTCTGGATTGTGGAGTATCAACAAGGCTAGGTAAGATGATCTCGTGCTTGTGTCAGCAATGTTCTCCCATTTTTCATTTTGCTTCTTGAGTCTTGGTTGTTAAGGAACAAATTCTATCAACAAACGCTGCTGCAGTTGCTGCTTTTATACGACCAGCGACTGAGGCAGCTAGTGTTGTTGCGTTTGTTGCTAGCATTGCTACTTGGTTTAGAGTTTGTTCACAACGTTGGCATGATATGGTTTTTTAAGGTCAATATTCGCATGATATGATGTGTTGGTTAAGAGATTGTTCACAATGTTGACATGACACTCTAGTTGTTCTTAATAAAACTTAGGATGAGATATGTATCTTACTCATGAAATTTATCTTTGAAGACGACTATAGATGGTAATATGGAGAATGTTTTCTTTGAATCGGATTCTGCCTCTCTTGTGGACTACTGTCGCTTCGAACCTGAAGTTTTGAAGGCATAAAATATCTTGAAGACAAGGAAGGAATGCAAAATATGTCTGTATCAAGTAAAATTGCAAGCTCATGGAGGGCTTGTGGACTACTGTCGCTTCTTTTTCTGGGAGATGGAGGACCGAACTACTAGAACAAGCGTGAAAAAGAAGCCAGCAGATGTGTGGAGCACCTTCCAACGTCTGAGGTTGCAGTTGTTACTGGCAGCCCTCATCCTTGCAATTGTGAAATCAAGTTCATCCTCTTGCCCTTCTTCTTTGTCTGAAAAACTTACAAATAACATAAAGATTTTGTTTTTGAAATGAATACAACAATACGTGGAAGTGTTTGGATGGAGTATAATTCATTGCAATACAACAATACGACATACCTGTGTCTTCTTCATCAGAGTCCATGATGACGCGATTAAACCATCCAAGAATGCTTTCAACATATTCTTTCCCGAAACCAAGGAAGTATATTCCTGGTATATGCTCCCACGTGGACAAATCTCCCTCGATGACACATGGATAATGAGGATCTGATTTGGTGTTGTGTTGGGTACTTGTCATCATATTATTTTGGTCCTCTTGCACAAGCTCGACACCAAACTCCTTTAACCGAAACCGGTCAGGAAATCTGGCTATTACCAAAACCACCACTTCATCTCCACATTGTAATATTGTTTCAGTCTCCATCCTCCAATGGCTCAACCATTTCATATCTTCTCCGTCACCTGGAATTCCATAGATATCTGGTCCATGGATCCACGTCAGACCCTTACTCTTGTTACTCACTTTAGTCACTATTGGGCCAAAAATAGAAGGATACTGATAATTATAATTCTCCTCCTTTGTATAGGTAGCAAAGATGTTCAAGCCTCGAATTCTGTGACTAGCATGCAGTAGAGGGACAATAAGATATCGAGGACTTGGTACTTTTATAGCTGAATCGGCCCGGAACCTCATTCCCAGCAAAAAATGTGCTAAATATACCATATTGATACAGTCCCTATATATTTGCCAGAGTCATCACAACATTACTTAGTCATTTCTTTCCCATTTTAAATATTTAAGACTTATGAGAGAGAGAAAGAGAGGTGCACCTAGACTGGGACCTCTTCTGGATGATCCCTGGTTGCATCTGGATGATGCATTCGAATAGCAGGCATGGATTCCAAGTTGGACAAACCCAAAAGTTTGATCATTTCCGCATCAACTCTATCAATAGGCTCTAACTTGTATTCGTACTCCCACTCAACTAGATTCCAATTGTCACCCACCGTGTATGTACATCGTTGCTCAGGGGAAAGATATGTCATTTTTGTAAATGATACGCATTTGTGTATAGTAATCATTTGGTGTACTTTCGGCAACCCCACAAGCGATTTGAGCCTATCATAACCCGCGAAAGAGAGTTCATCGAGCCTTCTCAAACCTTTGATGAAACTTGGAAGACAACAAATTGGATTCTCATCTAATGTTAGTCTTCGCAACTAGGATAGAATATTTAAATCCCTACAAAAGGCATCATCAGAAAGATTACACCCCTTGAAACTTTACTAAAGAGCATGGAAAAGAACTCAAGATAGTTGAACTTCTTTCTGGCCACAATTCACTTATTGGAATTCCATCCGTTTCAAGAACTTTCAGAGACTCCATCTTCTTCATCATCTCCACTTGAAACTCTTCAAGATTTGAGCAGCCAGATAAAATGAGTGTTTCAAGTGATTTAAGAAAATACATGTTCTTCGGAAGCATCCTAAGATTCTTGCAATCATTCGTATTCAAGTACACGAGCCTCTCCAGTTTTCCAATGGATTCATGAACATCAATCAGGCTAGTGCAATCCACAAGAATCAATTCCTCTAGATTGGGGCAAAGTGAAAAGTCCATGATTTCAGTGAGGGGATGGGAATGGCTGACGTCAAGGATCTTCAACGATGGAAGAAACTATGGAAACAAAGGAAAAAAAGAAAAAGAATAAAAAAAAAAACAGTGAAACAAGTATCTAACATAAGAAATTAGTCATTGAATTAAAGAAAACATAGGAGTTCATTTTAACACATGGAGTTAGTCAACAAATAAAAAACTAAGAAAATAAGGAAAATGAATTGAAATGTGTAGAGTAACATAACTTTTTTTCCTTTCCGGACTTGTCTTAAGCTACTATGTTGCATTTCAAGAACAATTAGACAGTCCAAAGGAAGATCAACATGTATAGAATCCAATGGAAATTCAAGCCAACACAACCATCTTAATCTTGTATGGAAATCTACATAACATCCATCCAGTCGTACATGACTAAGATGGAGTAGTTGTAAATTGCGCATCCTTTCAAATGCATTGGTTTCCAAGACGGTCTCATTCGTGTTTATTGGTCTGTTTGCAAGATGCATACGCATATCCAGGGCAAGACCTTGAATTGTTTGTGTACCCTAACAGAAAAAAAAAAAAAAAAAAAAAAAAGGTTAAAACATTTATATGGATAATTTTCACAAGGAGAAATACATATATAGACATAAAAGGCATGTTTCTTACATTCTTTTCCCTCAGTACTTCGAAAGAATCCTTATGGCGCCATAATCTACTACGTTTTCCAGACTCTTTTGATTCGTGGCAAACAATTTCTCTTCCCATGTCATAGATCAGGTCATGCATTTTCACATTGTTGCATCCATCAACTGTCACCAAGCATCTACCAATGATTAGCACTATGATTAGTGCATGAGGGTCCGAAATGGGTGCGTGATAGCACTACCCTAGAAATTTTTACGTGTGCTCCAAGGACGACAAGATTAATATGTCTCATTTTATGGGTAAATCTTCATTAGTTTGAATTGCTGGGTAGTCCGATATAGGTAAGTCTTCAATAATTCAAATTACTAGGTAATCCGATTTTAGGTCCATTAGATTGGAAAGTAAATAACAATAGTATTTTCTCAGTTCAATCTTGATCGTTCATTTCTCATTCATTTCTCAATTCAATCTTGATCGTTCAATTCAATTTTTCGAGCACACTAAGCATCTCCGATGCACCGAAAAAATTTGGACTCAAATCTTATATTTGAGTCTAAATACGAGTCTAAAGGTTCTCCAATGCACCGGAGACTTAAAACTCATATTTATGTCTCTAGCGGAAAGGAGACCCAATTTGAGTTTCATTATGAGATTTGAGTTGAAAGTGGAGCCCATGCCAACTAAGAAGATTATTACTCAACCAAGAATAATGAGATTTGAGTCCAATCATCTTCAATACACAACCAAATATCTTCTTCTGCAGTGCAAGGACTCAAATTTTGAAACTCAAACTGAGTTCTAGAATTTGAGTTTTTAAGATCCACATACATCACCTTTTAAGATCCAAATATAAAAATATTGTCTAAAATTGAGTCTTTACATTAGAGATACTTTGATAGGTCTTTCGTAAAACCAAGTTGGTCATGAAATTTTAAAGCATTATGATTAGCACATGAGGGTCTTGGTCGGCTATTATTAATCTTCCCCACATGCATGTTAGCTGCCGCGCGTGTAATCGTCCAATTGTGAATTCCACTATGATCCATCTGTGGTTTGGTTTTGTCTTTGTATTTCATGGGATTTGTTTCTTTTTATTTATTTTGTTTGTCCAAAGTACATGCAATGCTACTTAATTAATCAAATACAGGGAGGTTAACTAAGTCTCTAATCCTTAATAACCAACTCGTAAAACATATTAGATAAATTAAATCATCCATCTCTAAATGTTGATAATCATCACATGACCCACATGTCATTATGCACTTTTTTATTTCATTTATAGTTCTGTTGAGAATAATGTTCAGAAGATCGCATCACGCGTATTTTTAACATAAACGGGCGCGCACGCGCAGTGGGGGGGTGCTTATTAGCTATACAAGTAGAGTTTTTAAAATTTTTTCCTCAAGTAAATGTTTGAGCTACACGTTAAGAATCTCTTTATCAAAAGAATTAGCGTTTGGTCTATTAACACTTGCCTTTTCAATTTTGGGAGAGATCTTCAATTTTAATTTCACATTTTTGTTATTATTGAAAGAATAAAATACTATCTCACAAAATATATGAGCTGATTATATGAAAGTTCCGTATCTGACTTTTTTTTTTCTTCTAACGAGTCTATTTTTATTTTATTTTATTATTAGTCTTTTGAGGTCAACTCATTTCACAAAAAAATTGAACTTAATTCGAATTATTTCAAGCATGTTTACAACCCCTACATGTAGTGCTCACTATATAAAAATTAAGGTATTTTGTTTTGAATGTAAGAAAGATTAACGTGAAACAAGCGTTCTAGGTCAATTGCATTCCAAATCCACAATAAAAGACATCTGGCCATAGTTGAGGGATTGGAGGGA